GAGGCGAAGAGAAAGAAACTAAAAGCAGGCTTCTCAAAAGTTCCTAAATGGACAGTTCTGGGTTTCCTTTCACTCTAGTTTTGTCCCACTGGTCAGTCTCTGAGATTACAGGCAAAATAGGGATTTTCCATTACAGTAGCGCCAGGGAGGAAAAAACAAAGTTGTAAACAACAAAATAAAAAACAAATTCTGTCCATAGATTTTATGAGGGCTTTGAAAGACTATGAAAAGACTGTGGTCACGTGCCAATTTGTAAAGTTGCAGAAAAGTTATTCCTCAAAAGAACTGTGGTCACGGGATGTGTCCTCACTTAAAAAAGCACCAACTACTTGGTCAGCACCTAAAACTCTCATCTTACCTTTTTACTTACTAAGGTGGAAAAACAAAGAAAGGATCGCTATTGTGAAACCTTAGCCAGTATCTGAATCAGATAATGCCCCAAACCGCCTGCAGCCCCTAGCAGTGGCTTTACATTCTAAGCTTCTCACCTGCGTGGTCAGAAGACTGAGCACACGTTCAGCTAGGTAGGATGTCAGAGGTCGCCAAAATCAAATAGAGTGAGTGCCTTTGCTTTCCCTGCAGTGATCATTAGGGCATAGGGTTTGGTCTGGGCGATGTGGGTGTGCGTCCTGGTGTGGTTAGGGACAAAGCTATTGCGTATATGTGTACCCAGGTGAGTGCATTTATTTGTCGACGTCTTTCCATCCCCCTCTTCCCAAGCTGAGTTTTTGTCTCTCTCCCTGGTATCTGAGCGTGCATCTGTGCGTGGGGGTGGGTTGGGGAACCCGTCTTTCCGCCTGCGTTAGTCAGTGGGACTTACTCTTAAGACAAGCTGTCCCCTCTCTCAAAGAGGGCAGTGACCCGCGCTGGCCCTGAGCACAGATGCTCCAGGTGCCCCAGGCCAGAGCCGTGCTCAAGGCCAGAGAAGCGCCCTTCAGCCCTTGACGCCCGCGCTCCGCGACTCAAGCCCCCGCCCGCCCTCAAGGGAACGTCCCGAATCCAGCTCACCTTGCGACCACACGGAGAACACCCTGGGAGCTCAAAGCCGGCTCGCCTGGATGCAAGGAAGGCAGAAAGAGGGTCGAGGTCTAAGCGGGCAAGAGGCGGCAGCAGCAGCAGTGCTACCCGACTCCAGCTCCAGAGGCTCGGTCCAGGGCGGAGGGAAAAACATGGCGACCGGCCGGGGCGGGGCCCAAGGAGGCGGGGCGGGGCCTGGGGCAGGCTGGGCGGGGCTCCGGGAAATGGGCCCGGAAGGCGGGGTCCGCGACCAGACTCTGGCAGCCGGCCCGGAGAAAGGAGGGTCCTGGTAGTGGAGAGTCGTCCCCCATCCCCCACACCACTTTCTTTGCTAAGTCGTAGCTTACCTGCGTGTAGACTGCTTCTCGTGTCCTTCCGCCTGCGTTCTAGAGCCTGCCAGCATGAAATAATAGTTATTTTTGAAAGTTTGGGTAAAGTAAAATAAACAGAGTGCATGAGCCAGTCACAGGATGTTATAACAGTGATAAAAAAAGAATGTGCAAGCGAACAAAGAACAAACAGGTAGATGAGAAATGAATACAGTTGTGATACTGTGGAATAAAAAATTGTCTAATTCACGTTTAAAATTTTTAGTTGAGTCTCGTTAAAGTACTACCTCTATCATCTCTGAGTATGAAATAATAGTAGCAAAAAGTGGCATTGGAGAAGCTTGTAATTCCTTGCTTTATACATGTAGTTGAAAACGTGGGTGATAAAATACAAGTCCCTGGACACAGGAGGGATTCTTAGTGAGCTCTTGATACATTTTGTGGGGTAGCTTTAATTTGTTTATTTTCCAGGAGAAGGGTCTCACTTTTATGATTTGGGGCCCACAATTAATTTACAAAATCTCTGGCTGTTTGGAGGGCCATTTTCAGGTAACTTCCTTCAGCACTAGAAAGGGTATAATTAAGAATTTCACACAAATATAAAACACCACTTCAATAATTGTGAAAATAAGACAAATAATAAAGATTGAGTTCTAGTTTGAATTTAAATGAAATGTTCTTATATAAAGAAATATAATTTGGGGGCTGGGGATGTGGCTCAAGCGGTAGCGCGCTCGCCTGGCATGCCAGCGGCCCTGGTTAGATCCTCAGCACCACATACAAACAAAGATGTTGTATCCACCGAAAACTAAAAAGTAAATATTAAAAATTCTCTCTCTTTAAAAAAAAAAGAAATCTAATTTTAGTTGTGCCAATATTTCTCAGAAGAAACATAATTAAAAGTATACAAAATAGAAATCCATTGAATATAGAAGGAAAATATATTAATTATCTTCTATTAAAACTACACAATAAAACATATATGAACATTAATTTTTCAATAGAAAAAAAATACAGTGTCATATACATTAGACCAAATTGCAACAAGAAATCCACAGGGTTATTTAGAAAATGCCACCTGAATTTATCCTGAAGAATTAAAGTCATTATAATATTGTGAATTGTGTTCATAGCAGCACAATTCACAATAGTCAAACTGTGGAACCAGCCTAGATATCTGTCAATGGATGTGAGATATATATATATAATGAAGTTTCATTCAGTTATAAAGAGGAATGAAATTGTCATTTGCAGAAAAGTGGATGAAACTTGAGACCATTATGTTAAACAAAATAAGCCAAACTCAGAAAGTCAAGGGTCATATTTTGTTTTGTATTGGGAAGCTAAAAAGAAAAAAGGAAAAGGTCTGTGGTGCGAATCTCATAAAATAGAAGAGAGAGCAGTAGAGTAAAGGGATCAGGGGAGTGAGGAGGGGAAGAAAAGGGAAAATACTGGGGAATGATATCGACTAAGTTATATTGTTATATTATGTGTATATACAAATGTTAAAATGACCATTATATACAACTATAGTGCACCAACTAAAACAAAAGAAAGAAATGCCACCTGAAGGGGTGGGGATATAGGGGGGATGTAGCTCAATGGTGGAGTGGTACAGCACGTGCTACCATGTACACAAGGCCCTGGGTTTGAAACCCCATACCACCAAAAAAAGAAAAAGAAGGAGGAGGAGGAGGAGAAGGTGGAGACAAAGGAGAAGGAGAAGGAGATGAAGAGGAAGAGGAAGACAAGGAGCTACCTGCCACCTGAAAATGCTATGTCATAAGAAAGTCCTACAAGCAATTCTTTGGCTGTTCTAAATTGTAAGAAGGCATTCAAACATATCTGAGTGTAGCTTATAGTTAACACCTAAAGAAAGAATACTTGGATAGAATTCAATTGACACTTAAAATGCTAGTATATCCCACTATTCACCTTTCTACCTAATTTGTCTGTGTAAGAGTAGGGTACAGAGCAAGTGAAAAGGTTTTTTGTTGTTGAATGTGTGTGACTGGCAAGCTGACACAAATTAGATAGATGGTCTCTATCTCTCTTGCTCTGTGAACTTTATTGATTAAAACATTCAAGAACTGACCTAGTTTGACTCTATTCATCTAATTATCTTTATATTCTATAAACACCAATGCATCATTCATGGAAGAGAAAGAGGTCAAATTTGCTATTAATGATTCCTTTCTTTAAATGGTACCTACTTATTACTATAAGCACTGGGACTTAACACCACATTTCAAGTTGAGGACTGAAAGAAATTGTCTCTGGCATCTCTGATGAAAAGCTATAAGTAAGTGAGCCCCAGACTCAGGTATAACAAATAATGACTAAAGAGTTGAGCTCAGTGGCTCTACCTATAGTTCTAGCTACTCAGGAAGCTAGGATGGGTGGAGGGATCACTCAGTCCAGGAATTTGAGACTAGCCTGGTCAATATAGTGAGAACCCACCTCAAAATAAATAAATACTGACTAAAATTGAATTTATTATACTTTTCACGTATGCAGAAAAAACACAACTCAATTATAGGCAATTTGACCATTAAATGACATATTTAAATACTCAAAAATTCGATATTGTTCCCAACACATTGGCCAAAATAAGAAACTTGTTCTCAATATTGCATATTATTTTATATGTACACTGACAATGGAAAAAAGTATAAAATGTATACAAAAATAACCCCTACGCCCATTATATTGGGCTTTAAAGTCAGAGTGAATATAATGTTAAGTGAAAAAGAAAATTACTAAATCGTATATACAAGAAAAATCCCAATCTTATTGAGAAAATATTTGCATAATGTATAATTTTTCAATATATACAAAAATATTTTATGATTTATATACTTACATATTTATATAACATATATTTTAATGTCACACTTGTCCATTTATCTAGAAACTAGTTCAGCATATTTACTGTAATAATATAAAATTTCTGATACTGATATTTAAGTCAGATAAAACTTGAATATATAAGGAAGTACCAAAAATTTCGTGTCTTCACTGTCTAGTTTAAAAATGAGTTGAAGGGTCCGAGGGTATAGCTCAGTGGTGGAGCATTTGGTTAGGGTGTACAGGGCCCTAGGTTCCATCCCCAGAACCACATACATACATACACATAAGGGAATTTAAAAGCAAAAATGAACAAGAGCCTTGTCCTTAATCTCCATATCACCAGTGAGCAAATCTCAGAATCTCCAGCCTCAGGTTGATGTGCCCAAATGAAAATTCTGACCCTCAACCATGACAGAAGATATATTCTTTCATGGACCCCATGAATTCTATATAATAGTTCATGTTGAATGGCACACCTGGGAGTCAGGTCACTTACATGTATCCATCTGTTGGGCGGCCTACCTATTGTAAGAAGAGAGGGGGCATGGGAGCAAGGAACCAATTCAACTCATACCTCCCAAGTCCATGGGTAACCACACTAACCCAAACCCTTCCAATGCACACAGCATAGATACACATTTACCCTTTTCCCTTGGATGGTTTTAAAATTTGCGGGAAATGAAAAGTCAATCCATGTTAATATTTATTTGACAAATATATAACAAGTATATATGCTTAAGTAAGAACAAAGCAGTAAAAGTCACAGTAGGAATCAGATAGTGTCCCCAGCACCATCCTTCTCTGAAGACTACCATCCTCCTGCATATGTTAATCCCATCTGCTAGCTTTTTTAATATATCATATGACCTTATCTTAGTGAATTAAACAAATTCAGCCCTTTTCCTAGGAGAGCTTAAAAATAAGAGTGGAAGAGATGGGCTGGGTTGTGGCTCAGTGGTAGAGCATTCGCCTAGGCGTGTGAGGCCCTGGGTTCGATCCTCATGCACCACATAAAAATAAATAAATAATGGTATAAAAAAAACTGTGAGAAATAATTTTTTAAAAAAGAGTGGAAGAGACATTCAATATGCAACTAAACAAATGTGTAGTTACAAATTGGATTAAGGGCCTTGAAGGAAATAAACAAGATGCAGCAGGTGGGTATACTGGTGATGATATGAAAGAAAGCATGAATGAGGATGGGATTCACCATGAGCCCTAAGGATGAGCAAGAAGTAATGGGAAAGATGTGTGGGGAGTAGAAGAAGTTGAGGAACCAGCAGTTCACCAAGGACACAGAACATAGCAGCATTCAATTAAAAAATGTACAAACTATTACTAAATTTTCCTAACTGATGAAACTCCTGAAACTGCATTTCTCTATCCATAACTAGACCTAACATGTTCTCTCAGAAATAATATATGCATGCTGAATAGTGCTGTTCTTTTCTCTGCCACACTCTAAACATAGCTTAACTCAGTTAAATAAATATGGCCCAATGGAAAAGGCATTAAAATTCAGGAATTAAGTGAGGAATTTGATTTTTTTGATGATTTGCTGATGAACATGAGTCATCAACTGAACTTAGCCTTTAAAGGCAACAGGAGGAAAATTGCATAGATACCATGATTACAGCTATGTAAAAAGTATATTTGTGTGTTTGTGCATATTTATAAATGAAAAAATGGAGAACAAAATCTAAACAGTTGAATTGTTATGGCAGTAGGATCCTAGGTAATTTTTGAGTTTTGAATTCCATGTTACAGTATTGTTTTGAGCAATAAGTGCAAATTTTTTAATGAAGCAATTTAAAGCAAATTCTAAAATTATTTAATATAGCATCCAAATCTAATCTTTGCCTTAGGCTACAATGGAAATTAAAACAGCCAAATTTTGTATGTCTAATTTTGATGTATCTCAGGAATGCAAAGGTAGTTTAACATTACCAATTTAAAGGAAAAAAAACTATATAATCAACTCTATGGATAAAG